ATAAAAATCTATATAAAAAACGAAAAAAACTATTTTTGATTGAAATTCACAAATAAACTGCATCTCTACCTTAAGATCACTCCTAAACGTTTGCTTGGATATTGGAAATACAGGGCAGGGCGGCCACGGTGTTCGTCGCGCAGCGCGTGTTCGAATTTCAGGTAAACAAACAATGTATTTTAGACGCGTTGTGTACGTCGCTGTGAGTCCCATATCGAACAGGACGCATCGCGACGACTGTCGCCCTTTAAGTAAAATTATTGCAAACAATTCTGATATATCGTTCCAATAAAATTGATGTAAAGTTTCTTCAAATTGAATAAAACTCATCCTCTGATGTATTGACACTTTGGTAACAGTAAACCGGACTCGTTTCCATAGAAACGTGGTGTTGTACCGTTTTCGACAAACGTCTCATACGACAGCGAAGAGTGAAACACTAAATTCGAACATGTGCTTCACGACGACTATAAGTGGTCTTGTTGTGCGAATAATTGGGTCGAATATTGACGATGATTTTTTCTGATCTACTTTATTTGTTCAATCAGTCACTCAAAAGCAAGATTTACAGTCAACTAGACTAACCTGATGTTTAACCTCCGATTTATAAAATAAAAAAAAAATGACCAGTGATAGACGTACAAAATGTACTTCTCATAACCTAGAAAATGAACTTGACAGACACGAACCCATTGGAACCACAGATAATAAAAAAAAACACTGCCGAATCGTATGGCGAATTTCAATATAAAGATAAACGACACCAGTATACTGGCGATGACCAAATAATTATGCCTTAGCTGACGAAGACGGTATACGCCGTGTTGTGCCAGTGAAGAAATAATAACCACGAAAGAAATGAGTGTGCGATTTCACCTGTATTTCTATCACTGCAACGATTCCAGAAAAGGAACGTGTCTGTGTTTTGGGGATTTCCATCAACTCGCGATAGAAGTGTATCACTTATATCAATATTATACAGCGTGTGTCGATGTCGGCGAGCTCTCACTGCAGACCATATCATTGGGGGCCGAGTAAAGTCACGTTGATTCCGCTTTAAAACGCGGGTTCTGATCAAGGTGAGGGGGTGGCTGGAAGAGTGTGACCAGTGTATTTTTTACGCGGGTTCTTGTCTGTAAATTTTTATTTTTCTTGATTACGCCATTTTTTCCCCGGTATCAACTGGTATGCAACTTTGTCTAGCTCTCATTTTGTTAAAACAATTCTTTCGGGCAGCCCCCCCCCCGCACTGATTTCAAATGTTCGCCCACTAACACGCGCGATACACCCTTTGGTTCGTCACTCAGCTCTAATAGTGAAGCTTGAAGAGGGGAGGGGCGGTCTTCAGCTGCGCATGCACTGGAATTGAGTCCCACGCGACGATAACAACGCACGATAAAAACATAAAAGCCCAAAAGCTCTATGCTCAACGAGTGTGTGTAAACAACGACAAGCTATGGCCGCCTGTTGCATGCGTAGCTGACGACTCCCACGCTTTATAACTCACAAAAGTCTGCAGAAAATAACCTACGTGAAAGTCAAATTGCATATTGCAGGCATCCATCCAGGGAAAGAGACATTTAAGTATGCCATACAAATAGATAGTAATGACGCGATATAATTATTACGTTGTTAAGGTTAGACTTGCTTGCAGTCTGTTGCTGTTCTGATGAAAAATTCTTTAAAAATAAATATAAATTGCGTAAACGAGGGGTGAACGCGAAATCCTATGTCATGTGAGTGTATGTTAAGGTGTGAAATAAGATCGTCCGTCCACAATGCCTATGCTTGTTGACTTGGTGTTGCCCACAGTGTTTGCTTTTGGTTGGCTGCGATTTTTTTCTGCGATTAAAATGTAAGCATTTCCAGTTTTTAACAAAATGTTGAATCTAGACGAAGAAAATTATCTCTGAAACTTCGTCTGAAATGCCGATGTAAATTATCTTGTGAAAAGATTATCTATGGCCGAGTGAGAATACCAGAACATGATAAGCCTCATTCACCTCCGTTAACGTTAGCACTGTAGCAAATTGTCTGTACCGTGTACGCGTGAGAACTATTACAGCGGTAACCACGTGCACATGACAGAGCCTATAATAAACTGGAGTTGGAGAGTGGACGTGTCAACAAGTATAATTGTAGTGCTTTTAACCACTTCCGCGACTGGAATTATTATTCCACGGATATGATGCGTTTTATTTTCTTTTAGATCGAGCCGTCGCAATCCACTTCGATTCTGACCTAGATAGATTACTTATCCAAAAATAGTCACGACAGAGTATGTTTAGATTCCACTGTAATTGTAAGAGCTCAATGTCAAGTACTCTAAACTTGAAACATCTCGAAAATGAAGTACTTATTTTGATTTTAAATGATTATAAAATCGCCTCTTCGAATTAATGCGGCGAATTTCTCTTGCTTTGCTTATTCTGTATGCCAAAATCTGACAAGTTGCATAGGAGGAAATTGCGCCCTGTGATGGCGAGAAATCCTCAAGATGGCACGATTGCAGTGTGAGCAATGTTGTTCGATTGTCTATTTGTCTGTATAATCTTTCGTCGTTAAGAAAAGAGCAAATCATGAAAAAGGGGTATATATTTCATAACTGTTTCAACAGACAAAAAGCCCAATAAAGGAACATCTGAGACAATTAACATAAACGATGCATGAAATAAAAAAACACACTAATTTTATAACATAACCTTGAAAAAAATACTATACGTTTTTTTTCCAAAGTATAATGAGTATCAGTAAAATCAAAGAAATTACTAAAATCATTAACAATACTATTAAAATATCTCACACCCTACACGTGGTAGAAGGGAGACTTTTCTTATATGATTAATACCTGATATATTTTTTCTCTGAGGTTCAGCTCATGAACATGAAAAGAATGTTGCCCAACATATCCTGGTAAGATGTGTCGTCTATGCTATTAAACAAGTTATCTGAAGATGACACAGCCCACACTTGTCAGATGTGATTATAGTTGGCTGTGAATTATAAAGTTTGAATGTATATGTATAAAATCGGGTAAAAAGGTTAAGTTGAAAATCAAAAGTACTCAAAGTTAACAGCTAGGACATCGCTATTAAATTTTAACAAAAATTCACAATTAACTGAATTGAATATAGAATTTCAATTTAGTCAATATTAAAATTCAAAATTAATTGAATATTCAAATTAGCTCATTAATTAAGTTGAAAGTCAATATTGCATAGCACACATCTTATATTGACAGATCAAGTAAGTCTATACCAAGTTTGGTCTCATTCGGCAATTAGTTAACAGGATATTAAGAAAAATTCAAAATTAATTAAATATGCAAATGAGCTTGTTAACTTAAGTTGAAACTCAATATTTCATAGCACATATCGTATATTGACAGATCAAGTAAGTATATACTAACTTTGGTTTCATTTGGACTATTAGTTTACAAGATATCAACAAAAAGTCAAAATTCATTAAATATGCAAATAAGCTCGTTAATTAAATTTAAACTCAATATTGCATAGCATATATCTTATATTGACAAATCAAGTCTCTACCAAGTTTGGTCTGATTAGTTCACTATTAGTTCACTAGACTATTAGTTCACAAGATATTAACAAAAATTCAAATTAATAATTAAATATGCAAATGAATTTATTAATTCCTTGAAACAATAAATCAATGAACATCTGTACCAGTAGTCACTCTGTCTTTGTACCTAAGTCTCAGCCTAAATCGGTCCAGGCATCTTCGAGAAATGATGATGGACACACCCAAAAAACTGGATTTTACAGAATTTTGACATTCAAAATTACAGCCAGGCAGCCATATTTGATCAAATCAGGAAATAAATCCATGTGAATATGTATACCCCCTCACTTTGTCTTTGTACCTAGCATCATTGAAATCAGTCAAGGCATCTCTGAGAAATATCAATGGACAGACAAAAGCCATGATTAACAATCAAAATGGCTGCCAGTCGGCCATATTTGATCATTTCAAAAAAACGTGCATCTGTATGGGTGGTTCCTTTGTCTTTGTAATAAGTCTCAGCAAAATTGGTCCAGCCATCTCCGAAAATTGACAATTGACTGAATTTTGGCATTAAACATGACCGCCAGTCGGCCAAATTTGATCGAATCGGAAAATAAATTGACGTGCACATGTATATATGGTTGACCACTATGTCTTTGTACCAAGTTTCAAACAAATCGGTCAAGCCATCTCCGGGAAATCACTGGCGGACTAACGGATTGACGAATTGACGAAGGCGAAACTTCAAGCCCCCTCCCGGACTTTGTGGGGGTGGGGGCTAATCAAATTATTAGGTCTACGATATCCAAGTGTAGGAATGCTAAAATGATTGCATAAATCGATGTACATATCAAAGTGAAAGGTGATTACTGCATTTATCTACTAAAATAACAATTATGTCACTTTTCCGTCGAAATTGACCGACTTCCAGATAACGCGTTGGAATTCAAGATGATATGGTCAATATCAACCTCCAGCAGGCACACCCAGTACGTACATATTTGAGTTCCTCCATTACTGGTATTGAGTATTGTGTTCCCTTCTTGTAGTATACCGCTTTCTAACTGAGGGGAAATAGACACCTGTCTCTGAAATTTGAGGGCACCTCTCGTGAAACTCAAACACCACTGGAGAATCGCGAGTCTGTATCATATTTTGAAATTAAAGTAGATGTTCGATCGCGATTGTAGAAGTGTGCATCTGTTGTGGTTTTGGGTATAAATAGCGTCAATGTTTTGTGATTGTGTACACGTTTCAACCACACGGCTCCCACGGTTCGTCGACGTACCATTCACGACCCGCCGATGCAACACCCATGCAGCTGAAGACAACGTAAAGAACCAGCTTCGTCTAAATCGGCCGAGGTGAGTAAACACGAACTGTGCGTGAATATTGTTACACTCGGCGATGCAGGCTTCTAAGCGAAATGACGCGCCCACCATATAAGCGTGGTTATTCTATAAACTTCTTCCAGTTTGGTCTTGGGCTAACATCACAATTAAATTCCAAAATATACGTTGCATGTAATCAATAATGTTACATATACAAATAATTTCTGTATCGTTTCTCTCGTATATAATTTGCATTTGGTTATTTTTGCTCATTCCTATGAGTTATTAATATCATGCCGAATCTGTTTATTGCGAGTACGCCCACCTCATTTCCTCAGAGCTTCTTCATTATGTTACTTACATGTTGTGCACGAATTATTTTATTTATTTTATATAAATATGTCTTATTACGTCGATTATCGGCTGCGCAAAAGTGATTCTTAGTATGACGTCACTTTGAAGTCAAAGAGCAAGGAGGGCGGGCATTTCCAAAACAAGTTCATTAAATATGCACATCATGCGATAATGTTCAAAATACCATGATAAAGAGGACGCAGATATCCTTTAACTTCATCAATAATGGCTATTCTAAAATAATCAAACAATGTTTTTCCTAGGATTTCTTTTAAAGCGGGAGGGTCGTTACTTGCGCACGCGCGGGAATTGAGTCCCCAGCGACGATAACAACACACGCGAAAAACGCAAAGGCTCATGGGTAGACGCTTGTTTGTAAACAATGACACGCTATGGCCATCTGATGCATGTGCAGGGAACTACTCCCCTGCTTTAACGTCAATGGCGTGTTCGAATTTCATGTAAACAACGTATTTTATACGGATAATGGTTCACTCCTCCTTTCATTGACAGCTTTAACGCGCTTAGTGTTAACTTCCATATACAAATACAAATAAAAGTCCCATATTATGAGGTTAATTTTAACCTAAATAGACCAAATTAGGGGGATTCCGATCCGTGGCACATCGTGGCCATTTCAGGATGTAAACTCGTTCTTACAATTAAATAAATACAACATTAGTATATTAGGTCCATTTTATATGATATTTCAATGTGTGCATTATTTATTTATTTATTTGATCTCATAATCGATACTTATACAAGGAAATATATTTCTATATACAAATACAACTAATTTGGTACTGTAAAAATAAAAGAAATCGGAAATCGCTCACTGCGCCATTTTTTTCAACATCTCGGGCCGAACGAATTTTTGCCTGTATTTATAATGTATTTCGCTTTTGATTTTCAGTGAACTTATTCAAGTGACATCATCATGCATACTGCATTAGTATTTCTTCTCGTTGTCTCCATGGCTACGATTGACTGCTTGCCAGTGGATGACACCACCACCGGTGTTCAAGTTGATGTTAGGGATTCCCGGTTATGGCTGTGTGGCAGACTTGTCGAAGATCTGCGTGCTCTCTGCAGAGGTTGCTATGCAGGTACGCCATTTTGTTTTGGTAATGATTATCTTGAGACGTTGCACGTGCCTTATTTATTGAGTACGTCTTGTTAGAGCAGTTTGCGCGCTCTATCGACAAAGCGCTTCAATTCTGTGACTTACTTGGTAAAAAACAGGCCGCTCACAGCGTTGTAGGGAATTGAAATCCTGAAACGTTTGTGTTTGAATTTCGAACAGCAACACTATTTTCATCCATATACGTTACTGTAAAATACTTTATTTTAGCTGGAATTAATTTTCGCTGAAACGACCTTATAGGTGTTTTGTATGGAATTTATTTTCACTGATTTTTGACATATGATGAAATTGTTTACACGTATCTGTTGATCGACTTATTTAGTTGATTACTAGCGAATGGCTGTGTTATATCTGTCATCGTTTAGGCCCATGCGAGGTTCAGGACGGAACTTGGTTCAGTGATTTAGAACTAATTACGATATAACCGTCTCTATCCGGACTACTATTTCTGACAGTTGGTATTCGCAGTTATTAATGTAGTGAACGATTAATCAAAAGATATGATGTGTTCAGTACTTAGTGTGATTGGTTGAATGTGTGAAGGTTACGCCTTAGAGTCTTTTAACTGCTTTGTAATTAGTTAAGGTTTTGTAAGTGAATAAATTTGTTTTAGTTGGTCTTGGCGAGTACACCAGGACAGACGCAGTCTTGGGGCGAGTCTTGACGCAGTCTAGAGAGAGTCTTGGGGCGAGTCTTGATGCAGTCTAGAGAGAGTCTTGCGACAGCCTTGCGATAGTCTTGGGAACTTTTCCCCAGGGCGCTGTGTCTTATAGAGTACTCAACTGACCGACTAAGACGAGATTTGAAACGTATTTCGTTGATTTCGTTGTGTGCGTCTATTTGACTGTAAAGTTTAAGTGACTTCCCCGATCCCGCACCTCAATGGGACGCGATAGAGAGACGAGACGAGATTCCCCCCTTACACGTGTGGAGAACCCAGAGAAGAAGATTCTTCTCCCTGATAGACAACTTGAATGTAAAATATATGATAAAGGTATATTCGCTGGATTTTATTTTCATTAAATCATTCCTTCAGCGAAATTTAATTCCACGAGAAAATATTTTACATTATTTTTAAGAAAGAAAAAAACCGCTTCGTTGCTGGAGGGTGCGACTTATATGAAAACTCTAAAAATTACACATCCTGCTTAATCTTTTGTTGGTATAAAAATAAAAGAATGGGTTTATCTCCCAGACTCGACTATTTGTTCCTGCTGCATGAGAACATACAATAATTGTGTATGTCATAAAAGTGACCTATAGTGATTGAATGCATTTTAAAAAACTTGTCCAGTCGTCAACTTTTAGTACACCTCTGTAAATTTTGCTTGTGATCTGCGAATACATCTCAGTAAATAGCGTGTCCGTCGAAGACAGCACTATAAAAGACAAATACCCAACGCAACTCGAAATAGGGTCTGGAAATAAAATTCTACTTTGATCTCAGTTTTATTTATTTAATACATTTTTCCAATAGCTTGCGCCTCGACGAAGCACTTTTGTGAAGCAATGGGTGGGAGCGGTATTGTACACAGACACCAAACAGTTTGATTGATTCGTCAGTCGTCGTTTAGAATGTAACAAATCTCTCCCAAATTCTTATTTTGTATTGTCCGACGATTACTGGTCAAAACACCAGCGACCGGCTTACCGTCCAAGTCAGAGAGAAAGAGCAGCTAACCGCTTTGTTGCTAAAGAGAGTGACGTAAACATGTACAACTGATTTGTGCTTGAGGAAGTATCAATCGACAGAATACAAATATGATTCCTTTTTATAGCGAATAGCAGAATATTGACATGCCGCTGATTTGCCACGGCCATAACTAAAGCGGACATTTTGTTTGCGTCCAATTTCCGGCCAGCCTCGCTTTGGGATGTATATCCGGGAAATTGAACATTTTATCATCTTTCATGTCCTATTGTTTCTTTGCAGGCCCCGATATCAGCAAAAGAGAGGCATCGAAGTTCATGCAATTCAATGCGCATACAATACGCCAAAGTCGCGGCATCATTGAAGATTGCTGCTACCATACATGTCCGACGGAACGGAAAATTCAGTATTGTTGTTTTGAAGTACAGGCGCAATATCGATTATTCATGGAATCTGCAATTTAATTTAACATCAGTTGGCGGCACTTGAGCAGATTTGAAATTGAATGTATGTTACGTAATTACGCCCTGTGTGGAGTTATTGGGAAATGTCTCAATTACGTGCACACGGACAACATTTACACGTAAGTGTGCGAGCATATGACATGGTTGTAGAGGATGCGATATTGCTATTTGTAATATTGTTTTGACTCGAAGAATCTCTTTTTTCTCGCGACACTTAAAACAGCTAACAAATCAAATAGCATGGATGTTTTCATTATCGGACCTTCCGAGTCACTGATTGGTTTATTCACGTAGGATTTGTAGAACTATGTGCATTGATCCATAAAACTTGCAGTGTAATTAAGCCGAGTTGATTATATTTCTCCTGTCATTTTGAAAATGCAGCCACCAGACGTACCGTAACACGTGCCTTTTTAGCTAGCATGTTATTTCAATTACCTCAGCTGATACGTAAGTTTGCTAGTTCAAGTCGCTATTTCAAAATGAAATATATTCTCACAATGAGATTGCTAACTAAATTAGCTAAATTGAGTTTGCTAAAATGACATGTAGCAATTTCAACGTGTTTCATAGTATTTACATATGAGGTCAAACACATGCTAATGATATGCAAAGCATGATGGCCATTGAGTGTTCCCAATAAATTGTGACCTTTCATTGTACCCTATGAGTTGAATGAATTCTACACTGCCCAGCAGAACATGACACGGATCATAATAATGAACATAATACAAAACAATATGGAACATTAACGCGGTACATAATACAGAACATAATCTGAAACATAATACAGAACATAATACGAAACATAATACAGAGCATAAAACGGAAGATAATACAGAACATAATGCACACATTATGTATGGTATTGTCATTACATCCGTTATGAGAATTATTCGGGCAGTCAGTTAGCAAAATGATTTGCAACTTTGCAAAACACTTTGGTCGTTGCCCAATCTAGACTTAACGGCGCCACTTGAGTGACGGGCGCGTGGTTTGGGATTACAATTTCATAGGGGTTGTCGGCTTGGTGAATTGTAAGTATTATCTAGCGTGCGTCCACAGCATCCATTCTTTTTTTTTATAATTATATTGTAATTATTTTCAGTAACTTTGAAATCACAAGTTGGGTGTTGCTTAAATCTGTCGAAAAATGTCAACTTCTCGCTCATTTTAGTCAGTTGTACCTGTTACAAAAATGGACTAGACATAATAACAGTCGTTATACTCCGTCATTTTCAAACTGCAGTTGAAAAAGTGATTCGATCAGGGAAGGCACTTTTGATTTGACAAAATCCATCAAACCGTTATAATAGAATTTTCCGTCTGTATTCCTGACGTACTCTCCCACCTCGGTATAAAATCTGAATTTGATACATAATGCACCAGTAATGTAAAAACAACATTTAGTTTGGTCCAAATCTGTCGCGGAACTGCAGCGCGTCCCGCTAAGAAACTTTACTTGAACCTTCCCGCCAACGACGAGTTCATCACTACCTGGGGTTACTCAACACTCGGGAGTTGTTTTGTAAATTACGCTATGTCAGGTGGACTCAGATGGTTATAACGATTTAAAATAACACTTTGAATGCATATACAACATATAACCTGTTAATTATGGTAACCAACGTGTGTCGTTTTGAAAACAGCGTTTTACCCGCATCTTGCAAGATAATGGAATGATTTCAATTGTGGGCGTGCCAATACAACGGCGCCATCAAGTCTAGATTGGAAAAGACCCAAGTGATTTTTCCAACATATATTGCTAACTGACTATCCGAATAATTCTCATAACGGCTGTAATAATACTCTGGTGGGAAACTTAGAATTCCCGGTATATCAAAGTATATTATCATTTACGAAGTTACAGTAGTCTGACATTTTTGTGTGCTGGTCCTGCTATCGTGTATACAGTTAACATTTTTCTGCAAACGTTTTTTTTCGTCTAGTTATAAGAGTTCGCCTGTGACATAGTGATGAAATGGACACGATTAAGCCACAATCAAAAGGCGTAGTTAGCGCGAATTCCCTCGATTTTAAGTTGTTATATTATATATACGAGTATGTTCCTATATTACAGTGTAACAGGATCAAGTCATTTTTTAATATAATCCAACGCACAATAGGCAGTTTATATCTTGTCAACAGTTTTGACGTTTGAGCAAGGTCATGGCTATTGTCAAGCTTGTCACTCAGTTGCTTTGTACTATAGCGTCCACCTGTGACAATTTCAGGCAACACAAGACAACACCTACTGCACATTGATATGGACGACGTCAGTCACTGCGCCATCGGTGTCGAACTTATTCGGTCACAAACTCACAGCCGAGTGAGTGAATCGATGAGGGCGCCATAACACACGTCGACCATATCGTATCGATCATCTCAACTCTTATATTGCCAGGTGATTTGGCAGAAATTGAAGAATATTATGAAAAACACACACATATATATATACACACCCAGAAACCAGTATTGCGTGAGACTAGACTGCATACCACATAAACAGGAGTAGGGGGGTATTAATGCGAAGACGTGGAAATTAAAATTGCTGGTGGTAAATCTAAAACCATCCATCGGACAGGCTTCCGCAAATATGTTGATTTCTTTTGATCAATAATATCACTGAAACCGACGACGATTGAAACAAACGAACATTCTCGGGAGGGAGATGACTTGGAAGAAAAAGTGATGATGATAATATTGTTATAAAAACTTTATAAAAATAAATTTTAATAATTTTATAAAAATAACTTGATACATTTGATAGCATATTATGTTCGGGCCATTCCGCATTCCAAAAATATTTTCTGAGATGGGAGAGTTAGGAGGAATATAATTATATAGACTTCCAAAACTAGTAAGTAACGTTTTAAATCTTTATAATGTAACACGATAACGGAATATTCAAATTAAGCAAGCATTACAAGTTCAGCGCATACTAGATGAATTACTACAGAGCTGATTTATTTCGAATAAACTGACAGGACTGATTAATAAAACCCATTATTACACATCTGTTACCGTAACGCCATAAGTTACAGAATAAGTTGCCGTTGAGCATCGGCCGATACTCCCACTGTACTGTCTTCGTGTATACTTTGCAGTATCCTC